ATAGTGGCGCTGTATTAAGGTGAAACTGTCGCCGGACTGTGATGGCTGTGATAGTGGCGCTGTATTAAGGTGAAACTAGCGCCGGACTGTGATGGCTGTGATAGTGGCGCTGGGTAAGGTGAAACTGTCGCCGGACTGTGATGGCTGTGATAGTGGCGCTGGGTAAGGTGAAACTGGCGCCTGACTGTGATGGCAGTGATAGTGGAGCTGGAGTAAAGTGAAACTGGCGCCTGCTGTGGTGGCGTGATAGAGGCGCTGTTAAGGTGAAATTGGCGCCTGACTGTGATGGCAGTGATAGTGAGCTGGGTAAGGTGAAACTGGCACCGGACTGTGATGGCAGTGATAGTGGCGCTGGAGTAAAGTGAAACTGGCACCGGACTGTGATGCGTGATAGTGGCGCTGGATTAAGATGAAACTGGCAAAATTCTGAGGCACAAGAGATGAAACAAGTGATAAAACAGAACGGCGGATTAAGTGGGGGGGGGAGGTGCAGCGTGTACAGTCGGTCTGGGTGGCTAGTCTGGTCTGGCTTGGTCCACATGTTGCACGGGTTAGTTCTATTGATCAGATGTGACGCCGTGGTCGCTCCGCCCCCTCCTTCCCTGCTGCGTTTCCTGCTGCGTCCCCTGCCTGCTGTTGTATCGTGGTCCCTGTTACGTCCCCTGCCTGCTGTTGTATCGTGGTCCCTGTTACGTCCCCTGCCTGCTGTTGTATCGTGGTCCGTGTTACGTCCCCTGCCTGCTGTTGTATTGTGGTCACTGCTGCGTCCCCTGCCTGCTGTTGTATCGTGGTCACTGTTGTTGTATTGTGGTTACTGTTCCTCCTTTATAACTTGACGATCACTGCTAAGGAGAATCTAATCCCTGGACTAAGGCCGCAACTGTGGTTTAGAGTAGGATATGTTAGGTTATGTTAGGTTAGGTTATGTTAAGGTTATGTTAGGTTAGGTCACAGACTTATTGACAGAAGTTCTATTATGGGGTTAGGTTAGATTAGGAGTAGGTTAAGTCATTCTAGGGGTAGGTGAAGTAAGGTTAGGGGTTGATTGAGGTTAGTTGAAATAGATTAAATTAGGTTTGGACTGTAGCTAATGCAGTACCTAACCTAACCTAACCTAACCTAATATACCCAAGGGTGACTGACCTCGACCTTCAAACCAACAAACCTGGAATTTCTTTGTTGAGCAGAGAGCCCCCTCCTGTCCCCCGCCTCACCCCTCCTGTCCCCCGCCCTCACCCCCTCCTAACCCCGCCCTCACCCCTTCCTGCCCCCTCACCCAAAAGACAGGCGCTCGTGCCAGATAGCGTCTCACCTACAAAACATACTTCGATATCCCTACACGATATCTCTGTATGTTTCTAAGTACACGATAAACACAGGTATATATATATGTGTGTGAAACAATTGGTAGTATATCCTTCATTAGTGTATATTTTAGTACTTGTCTCAAAGAATCACGTCTTTTCTTGAGCTTTCACAATATGGATCGCGTTGAGCAGAAATAGAGGCTGGTGAATTGTGCATCGTGGTTGATATGTAGGTCGTGAAAAAAACAATGCCAGGTCCTGTCATTCCCGCCTACTGATGTGATCATCCTCAGCTGTCACCATACTTGTGATTTATGGTAATATCATCACCATATTGGCACCATAGTCGTGTTAAATGCTTGTGCCAACACCATTATGGAACTACAAACGTAATCCATACTGTTTCCACTCCCATCATGGCACCATATATACAATGAACAATTCTTAAGACAAGGTCCTTGCAGTAATTATCAAAATACCACATCTTCCCAAACGAACAATATAAGAGACCAAGTCCTTTATTTCCAGAATAATTTCAGGTGTTCCAAGGACTCGAAAAAAAACACATACTGATTTAATACAACAATGGGGAGACAATTTCCATTACTCCCCTCCTACTCCTCCCCATCCAACTTCTCCTTCCTCCTCCTCCTCTTCATCACCCAACTATTCCCACTCCTCCTCTAATCCCCACCCCCTCTTCCTCACTCAATTCTTCATCCAAATACTCCTCCACTTCCTCCTCACCCAAATGATCCTCTAATTTCCCCTCCTCTTCCTCATCCGTCCCCCTCCTCTTCATCCTCCTCTTCCCTCCCCCTCCTCCTCTTCCTCATTCAACTCCTCTTCCCCTCCTCCTACTCTTCCTCATCCAATCTCTCTTTTATCCTCCTCCTCTCACTTAACAGAATCTTTGGACCAGCTCCAGGGAGTAAAAAAAGAGGTGTTCCCTGGCTGTACTCAGTGGACCCAGCATACACTACACAGTAACACCAGAAAGTTGGAGCTGCATTAACGTGTCAAAACCAACTGATACGCTGTTGTGTTGTGTTGGGGTGCGTGGGGGTGTGTTGTGTTGTTGTTGTGTTGTGTTGGGGTGTGTTGTGTTGTTGTTGTGTTGTGTTGGGGTGTGTTGTGTTGTGTTGTGTTGGGGTGTGTTGTGTTGTTATTTGTGTTGGTGTGTTGTGTTATGTTATTGTTGTTGGTGTGTTGTGTTGTTGTTGTGTTGGAGTGTATTTGTGTTGTTGTTGTAGTTGTGTGTTATATTTGTGTTATGTTGTTGTTGTGTTGGGTTGTGTTGTGTTGTGTTGTTGTTGTGTTGTGTTAGGTTAGGTTGTTGTGTTGTGTTGTAGTGTTGTGTTGTGTTGTGTTGTTGTTGTTGTTGTGTTGGGTTGGGTTGTGTTGTGTTGTTGTTGTATTTGTGTTGAGTGTATTTGTACTGTTGTGGTGTTGTGTTGTGTTGTGTTGTATTTGGGGTGTGTTGTGTTGTGTTGTGTTGGGGTGTGTTGTGTTGTTGTGTTGGGTGTGTTGTGTTGTGTTGTGTTGTTGTTTGTTGTTGTTGTTGTTGGGTTGTTGCTGTGTTGTGTTGAGGTGTGTTGTGTGTTGTTGTGTGGTATTTGTGTTAGGGTGTGTTGTGCTGTTGTTGTATTTATTTGTTGTATTGTTGTTGTGTTGTGTTGGGGTGTATTTATTTGTTGTTGTAGTGTTGTTGTTGTTGTTGTGGTGTTGTGTTGCGTTGTGTTGTGTTGTGCTGTTGTTGTGTATTTGTTGTGTTGTGTTGGGGTTGTGTTATTTGTTTGTTGTGGTGTTGTTGTTGTTGTGGTGTTGTGTTGCGTTTGCGTTGTGTTGTGTTGTGTTGCGTTGTGTGTTGTTGTTTGTGTTGCGTTGTGTTGTGTTGTGTTGTGTTGTTGTGCTGTTGTTTGTGTTGTGTTGGGTGTGTTTATTTATTTGTTGTGGTATTTGTTATTTGTTGTGAGGTGTTGTGTTGTTGTGTTGTGTTGTTTGTGTTGTTATGAGCAGCAGTTAGTGATGAAATATTTAGTTTTTTTCAGGTCAAAATCCACGATACTAATATTTAGAAACCTTGGGTTCCAGTCAACGTTACTTACACCTAGATGTTCCAGTTTCCAGTCAATGACACTTACACCGAGATGTTCCAGGTTCCAGTCAACGTTACTTACACCTAGATGTTCCAGGTTCCAGTCAACGTCCTTACACCTAGATGTTCCAGTCAATGACACTTACACCTAGGTCTCGACTACACCCCAGTCAGAGATACACTAGGGAGGCTCATAACACCCACCACCACCTACACACACAAGAAGCCAACCAATTGTGTGTAAAAAAAACGTGAAGCCAGCTGTGTGTGTGGGAGGAGGCGGGCTATGGTAAGGTGGTATAGGTCAGTTTGAGAGTCATCACAAGGGCGTCACACACACATGTTTGGCGTCACATATCACACACAATTTGAGAAAGCCCACACCAGTTCATCACACAAGTAGGTCACTCATCCCCACCAATAACCATCACCTGAGCTCATCACAACGGACTCCCAGAACGAGCTTCGAACCCACGATCTACCTATACCCAGACAGACACAAGCCGGTCAGTCCTTACTTGAGATATAACCCGTATTTATGCCAATTACCTCACCTAACACTTTGACAAGATTATTCCACGCCTGGGCAGACTCCTACACCTCCATTACCTGTGCACACACATATAAGGTAAGAGTTCCCTTCCTACATAATTATTTATATATATATATATATATATATATATATATATATATATATATATATATATATATATATATATATATATATATATTTTATTTTTTTTTTGTTTTTTTTTTGTTTTTGTTTTTCTGGGTAAATACAGGAATTTTTTTCTTTATAATATTTAACTAAATGTTTCTTCTGTTAATTATATTACTTCACAACTTTTTTTTCTGATTTTTGGACACGATTTTGCTTTCATAACATGGGCGGGTAACATTACAGTTGGGGAAGTGAAGTCAGTCGAGTGCAGTGCCGTCCATGTTGCCCCCTTACTGTGTGTGTGTGTGTGTGTAACGACAGCCCTACACCGTTTTTCTTTGCATGCGTTAATGGCCATTTTTCACCCCCAAATTGCGGCCTTGTGTACGACCTCTGATGTGTACCTCTACTGTAAGCTACTCTGCCTGGCTACGTCATCTGGCAAACCTAAACATAGATTCATCTTTTAAGTTTTACCTGTATGTGTTGATTATATTCTTAACTCTGACAGAACAACACACAGAATGGCAGTAAAGGCTCAAGGCAATGTCAACGCCATATTGCCCCTCCCCAATCACTGTATAGTATACCGTAACTTAAGCAACCAGTCCTAAAATGGCCAGTTTAAGGGGGTTACTTTTAGGCAGAGTGAGCCCTTGAAAACCCCGAAGGTGATTACAGTAGAGGCGTCACAATAGCTCATGACGAGACGACAACACAGTATATAATGAGGTTCACCAGGGATTCTTATTATGGCACGATACTGTGTGTGTATGCCACTCAGTAAGTCAATCAGTTAAGTGTGTCTAATCAAGTCAATCCAGTGTGTCCAGTCAGTCTCAAAATCCGCCAAGCTTATGCCCAGTCAGTCTATCAGTCAAGAATATGCAGTCGGTCTCTGACACACAGTACCGCACCAGCCATAACCCCCAAAAGGCATACTGTAGTGGTACTCACGGTGGTGTCGTCGAAGTAGAACTTGGCCTTCGGGGAGGTGATGGGGGGCGAGGTGGCCTCCGGGGGAATCTCCAACACCTCCCCCTCCCGGATGGTCTCCAAATTCGCCATCCCCATCTTGGAGTCAATCCTTGAAAGATCCAACTCCTTGAGCGAATTCTCCTCGAGTTCCTGCTCCACCTTCTCCGGCTGTTCCTTCTCCTTGTCCTCCTTGGAGTCGAGGTCATCACAGAGCTTATTAGAACCTTGAGTGGGACTTGAAACACCTAGCACCTCCTCTTCCTTGTTCTTATCCTCCAGAGACAGGTCATTACTGGCACCTTTACTCGTTCCTGCCAGCCTCTCGTTCGTTTCTTCCTTCATTTCCTTATCCATCTTTTTCTCCTTATTATCCTCCTCCTCTTTATTGTCGTTTGGTATTTGTTTGTCGAGCTTCATGATGGTGGTAGTTGTGGTGCTTGATGGTGGTTGGTGGTGGTGGTTGACAACTAAGGGACGTGTTCAACCATCGTCTGGCTTGTGGTGGTCAGCTGGAGCCTCCAGTCACGGAGTCCTGTGAGAGATGGAGAGTCATAAACACACTATACTTTTAACTAATTATAAATAGCTTAATTTTAAAGCTACCAATTCCCTTTATAACTACGGCAATTCAGTTATATAATCTTGAATCCCTTTACAATTATGACAATTTTATTATAAACTATCAGATCCCTTTATAGTTACAACACAAATTATAAACTCTTGAATCCCTTTACATTTATGACTACACTATCTATAAACACCCTAAAAGCCTCTACAGCTACACTCTTAAATCCCTTTACGGCTGTGGTAATCATGATACTATTTCACAATGTTTATGGGCTACCTTTTGCAAACATGAAAACACAAGATTCCTGTAACTCTTATCTATTTCCTATTTCCTCTTCCCGGATTTACCAACGTTCACTCTCAAGGAAAATATCAATAGTGTGTTGGTGTGAGACCGTATGCCTTTTACTGGTTCACTCTAATTAAACCACAAAAACAACCTCCAAAATGGCATCAATATTACTATGATCCTTCATCTTTATGAGGTAAGTTCACATAGTTTCAGTTAGGGGACAAAAAGTACGTATAAGGGATCTAAACCCCTTCACACTATTTCGCCGATGTTCACACGAGACTATACTATACTGTATTATACAGTTTCCCACCACGAGGTTGTATAACTCCCTAAAACCCAGTAAAAAAACAAATGGGATCGAAACTGTGCCGAGACTCTGCCAGAATTAGAAAGTTCTGTTATCTGTCGTTGGGGGGAGAACATTATCGTAGAGGGACACAAAAAAAACACACCTCTCTCGTCTCCGGCAGGATGCGACGCCACACTCTCTGGGTTGGGCGTGAGGGCGCGAGCACTGGACCACACAGATGGTACAGTGGTGACACCCTCTCTTGACACCCCTGAGCTGCGGGTTCGAATGTTGCTGTGGACGGTGATATCTGTTGTAGATTTCATGCCCGTTTTTTGGTCTTCGTAAATGTAAGAATACTTAGAAATACTGCCATGATGACGTCACACATTGTTTAGTCATTTCCCCCGCCAATAAATTTCGACGTAGTGATAAGGCTAACCCAGATTAACTGTACGTCAGGTCATGAGAGTTATTGTCCGTTATTAATTATTGGCAAGATAGGTTAAGTTAGGTTTGTTATGATATGTTGTTATATTAGGTTAGGTTAGGATCAGGTCCACCAACGTCCCCTATACACACAGGTTTGAACTACGATTTTATATTCCCTCTGTGAATTTGTGAAACCTTTTGGGTTTTACTATAATGTGATGAAGAAGCGGTTAAACGGATCATCTCAAGACTTAGGCCAGTTATTTATTATTTCAGTTACCGGTTTACTAGCCGGTCGGGAGTTGTCTGTCCAGTGTTAGTGCAGGCTAAGACTCGAACCCTTAACAAAACAGTGAGAGAATCGCGTTACCCATGGACACGGAAGAGGGGGTGCTGAGGGTGCATCCACACCCCCCACCAACTTTTTTGGTATAAGGTGCTATACATTGCACCATAAAGTATCTAAGGTAGTGAAATAATGTTCAGCACCCATGGTAAAATATAGTTCCGTTACTGCCGTTATGTTATATAATGTTAAAGTAGGTCAGCGTTAGAATGGTTAAACTTTCAGGTCATACCACTAGTACTAGCTCACACTGACGTCAATAACAAGGATCCTCACCAATGGTAATTCACACCCGGGAGGATAATATAAGTGGAGTAACAATGGTATTCCGACAAACAGGTTTACCCACAGGCCAGACACAACAGAGAGGTCGAGTATGTGTGTCTCTCAAGGCCTGCAACTTTTGCTCCTATTTCACAAACCTTCGACATATTATGACTCCCCTCGTAAATGAAGATGCGTCAATGTGCAATCGTTTGACATTACACGAGACATTTTGTTTTGTTGACTATGTTAAGGTATAAACTAAGAGCCTGTAGTCTTGTGTTTACGAACGTTTGTGTATTCTTATTTTTACTTGAGGCTTTCATTATAAACCTCTGTGAATCTATACCCCTGAGAACACCTCAACTAAGGCCTGGCCCCTTCATCCTCACCCCTTCCCTTCACCTCGCCCCCATCCTCTTCCCTCACCCCATCCTCTTCCATCACCCTCCTCTTCCATCACCCCGTCCTCTTCCATCACCCCCAGTCCTCTTCCATCACCCCCAGTCTCTTCCCTCACCCCAATCCTCTTCCTCCCCATCTCCCTCACCCCCATCTTCCCCTCCCCCCCATCCTCTTCCCCTCACCCCATCCTCTTCCCTCACCCCCCAGTCCTCTTCCTCACCCCAGTCCTCTTCCCTCCCCCCCATCCTCTTCCCTCCCACCCCCATCCCCCTCACCCCCATCTCTTCCCCACCCCGTCTCTTCCTCACCCCAGTCCTCCCCTCACCCCCAGTCCTCTTCCTCCCCCCCACTCCTCCCTCACCCCCATCCTCTTCCCCTCACCCCATCCTCTTCCCTCCACCCCCATCCTCTTCCCCTCCACCCCCACCTCCCCACCCCCATCCTCTTCCCTCACCCCCAGTCCTCTTCCCTCCCCCAGTCCTCTTCCCTCACCCCAGTCTCTTCCCTCCCCCCATCCTCTTCCCCTCACCCCCAGTCCTCTTCCCTCACCCCAGTCTCTTCCCTCACCCCAGTCCTCTTCCCTCCCCCCCAGTTCTCTTCCCTCACCCCCAGTCCTCTTCCCTCACCCCCAGTCCTCTTCCCTCACCCCCAGTCCTCTTCCCTCACCCCCAGTCCTCTTCCCTCACCCCCAGTCCTCTTCCCTCACCCCAGTCCTCTTCCCTCACCCCCAGTCCTCTTCCCCTCACCCCCAGTCCTCTTCCCTCACCCCCCATTCTCTTCCCTCACCCCCAGTCTCTTCCCTCACCCCAGTCTCTTCCTCACCCCATTCTCTTCCCCCCCCCAGTCTCTTCCATCACCCCAGTCCTCCTCCCCCTCTTCCTCACCCCCAGTCTCTTCCCTCACCCCCAGTCCTCTTCCTCACCCCAGTCCTCTTCCCTCCCCCCCAGTCTCTTCCCTCACCCCCCAGTCCTCTTCCCCTCACCCCAGTCCTCTTCCCTCCCCCAGTCTCTTCCTCACCCCCAGTCCTCTTCCTCACCCCAATCTCTTCCCTCCCCCAGTCCTCTTCCCTCACCCCCAGTCTCTTCCCTCACCCCCAGTCCTCTTCCTCCCCCCCATTTCTCTTCCCTCACCCCCAGTCCTCTTCCTCACCCCCAGTCCCTCTTCCCTCACCCCAGTCCTCTCCTTCACCCCAGTCCTCTTCCTCACCCCAGTCCTCTTCCCTCACCCCAGTCCTCGTCCTCTTCCCTCACCCCAGTCCTCTTCCCTCACCCCAGTCCTCTTCCTCACCCCTCAGTCCTCTTCCCTCACCTCAGTCCTCTTCATCCCCAGTCCTCTTCCCTACCCCCCAGTCCTCTTCCTTCACCCCCAGTCCTCTTCCCTCACCCCCAGTCCTCTTCCTCACCCCCAGTCTCTTCCTCACCCCCAGTCCTCTTCCCTTCACCCCAGTCCTCGTCCTCTTCCCTCACCCCCCATCCTCTTCCCTCACCCCCAGTCCTCTTCCTCACCCCCAGTCCTCTTCCCCTCACCCCCAGTCCTCTTCCCTCACCCCAGTCCTCTTCCCTCAACCCCCAGTCCGTCCTCTTCCCTCACCCCCAGTCCTCTTCCTCACCCCAGTCCTCTTCCTCACCCCCAGTCTCTTCCCTCACCCCTCAGTCCTCTTCCCTCACCCCAGTCCTCTTCCCTTCACCCCCAGTCCTCGTCCTCTTCCCTCACCCCCATCCTCTTCCCTCACCCCCAGTCCTCTTCCCTCACCCCCAGCCTCTTCCCTCACCCCAGTCCTCTTCCTTCACCCCCAACCCTCTTCCCTCACCCCCCAGTCCTCTTCCCTCACCCCCAGTCCTCTTCCATCACCCCATCTCTTCCTCACCCCAGTCCCTTTCCCTCCCCCAGTCCTCTTCCTTCACCCCAGTCTCTTCCATCCACCCCATCTTCCCTCACCCCCAGTCCTTTTCCCTCACCCCCCAGTCCTCTTCCCTCACCCCCCAGTCCTCTTCCTTCACCCCAGTCCTCTTTCCTCACCCCCCAGTCCTCTTCCATCTTCCCCCAGTCCTCTTCCATCCCCATCCTCTTCCCTCACCCCCAGTCCTCTTCCCTCACCCTCAGTCCTCTTCCTCACCCCCAGTCCTCTTCCCTCACCCCAGTCCTCTTCCTTCACCCCCAGTCTCTTCCCTCTTCCCCCTCCTCTTCCCTCACCCCAGTCCTCTTCCTCACCCCCAGTCCTCTTCCATCACCCCAATCCTCTTCCATCACTCCCATCTCTTCCCTCACCCATCTCTTCCTCACCCCCATCTCTTCCCTCACCCCCAGTCCTCTTCCCTCACCCCAGTCCTCTTCCATCACCCCATCTCTTCCCCTCACCCCAGTCCTCTTCCTCACCCCAGTCCTCTTCCCTCACCTCTTCCCCTCACCCCCAGTCCTCTTCCTCACCCCCAGTCTCTTCCATCACCCCATCTCTTCCCCCAGTCCTCTTCCTCACCCCATCTCTCCTTCACCCCCCAGTCCTCTTCCTCACCCCATCTCTTCCCTCACCCCCAGTCTCTTCCTCACCCCAGTCCTCTTCCTCACCCCCAGTCCTCTTCCATCACCCCAGTCCTCTTCATCACCCCCATCTCTTCCTCACCCCAGTCTCTTCCTCACCCCAGTCCTCTTCCCTCACCCCAGTCCTCTTCCTCCACCCCAGTCCTCTTCCATCACCCCCATCTCTTCCTCACCCCCAGTCCTCTTCCCTCACCCCAGTCCTCTTCCTCACCCCCCATCTCTTCCTCACCCCAGTCCTCTTCCCTCACCCCCCAGTCCTCTTCCTCCCCCCCATCCTCTTCCTCAACCCCATCCTCTTCCCTCACCCCCCCAGTCCTCTTCCTCTTCCCTCACCCCCAGTCCTCTTCCCTCAACCCCAGTCCTCTTCCTCACCCCAGTCCTCTTCCCTCACCCCCA